TAGAGAGAGAGAGAGAGTCATCACAAAGCAATGAAACCATACAATTTCAGGCAAAGCTCGATCATCAACATTACTAACCTATATAAAGCAACCATATTACAAAACTATGCCATTTCAGAGAAGCTCAATCAAGAAGAATCAAACGCAATATAGAAAACCCACATCCCCAATGATCCATTGGACCTCCACAAAGAAGAGAAGCTTACCCCATTTGCGGCGTAAGGGCCAAGCCATTGTTGAGCTGAAAAATTCCATACTTGGAAGTGTCATAGAACTTGTTCAGAGAATTGGATATTTGATAAATGCTTTCAGGCTCGAATGGGGGGACAATTCTGAGTGCCATGGTGAAGGAAAGTGTGGAAAGAGAGAAAAAGAAGAGAAAGAAAGAGAAGAACGCAGACATCTCCCCAATGAGACACACTCAGTTCAAGGACTCTGCTCCAATCAAGAATGTTGGCTGAAAAACTGGGGATGGGCTTCAAGTTCTCCTCAGTGAGAGAGTGATTTCCTTACGGTTTTCTAGAGAGAGAGTGTGGGTGTGAGTTCCTTAAGATTTTCTAGAGAGAGTATAGTATTCTCATCTCAAAAGGCGTCCAATTAATAGAGATGGTTTCCTTGCACAAGAAAAAAAATGTGGATTATTTGTGAAGAAACGCATGTGAGAGGAAAATTACTGGGAAATTATGAAAAACATATTTTTTAGAGGGAAAATTGTGTAAAACCCCATAAAATAGACTTCCTGGTCAATTTACCCTACCTTAATCTTTCTTAGCATATTTTTCTCAAAAATCAAGTTTTATAGCAAATACCCTTAATACATAAAGTTCATTTTTTTGACGAAAATACCCTTCTCGTACATAATAAATCATTTTCGGATCCCAATAAAAAGAAATGCCGGACCGTGGTTCTATTTTGCCAGACCCATCATTCTGCCGGACCGAAAATGTACGGTGCCGAACCGCCTATTTCAGCCTATTTCAAATGCAATTTTCAATTTTGACGGACCGTAACTCACAAATGCCGGACCGCTCATTAATCAAGAAATAAATGCTGGAACGCCTCTTCCAAACTCTGGATCGCCGTGATGAATTGCCAGACTGTTCCAAATTAGTGACTTAAGCATCATATTGCCTCTTCCAAATGCCGGATCGCCATGGTGCAGTGCTAGACGTGAAGTGCCGGACCGTCATCATGTGAGGTTAGGAAGGGGTATTTTAGTCTTTTTTTCTTTCTTTTTTTTGAGTTGGGGGGTATTTGTTAGGAAACATGGTTTTGGGAAAAAAATTGTTAAAAAAAGTTAGGTTGGGATAAATTACTTAGAAAGTCCATTTTTGGGGGTTTTAGACAATTTTCATTTGTTTAGACTATTAAAAATAAATCTTAAAATTTTCAAAATCTCATCCATATGCCTTTTTCGACTATTTGTATTCTTTAAATGAAAATACTCAGGATAGTCTTAGATCCATGAAGGCATCACGGTCAACTTAAAACCGAGATAGTCATGGCAAAAAGATTGTGATGCTTTTAAAGTTTCAGTACCCAAATAACCATCACAGTGTTTAAAACGTTGTGATAGTTAAATGAGGCATTGCGGTCATTCAAATGCTGTGATGTACAAGGAAAGCATCACGATATTCTACATATCGTGATGATTTTAAAGTTTCAGTATGCATACAACCATCGGGATGTATAAAATATCGTGATGATCAAAAGAGGCATCACGGCATTTCAAAAGTTGTGATGTACAAGAAAAACATCATAACACTTTACAGATCGCGATGATTTTTCGGTTCCAGCACATTCAGAACTACTACGGTGTATAAAATACTGTGATTGTCAATAGAGGGATTACGGTGTTTCAAAAGTCATGTACAAGGAAAACATCATGGAACTCTACAGAACGTGTTGGTTTTAAAGTTTCAATATACGCATAAGCAGTATGGTATTTAATCAAAAGATGCATCACGGTGTTTAAAATACCATGATGTTATATAATGCCTACACATATCTAAGACTACTGTGAATGGTATTTTTGTCCAAAAAAAATACAAATAGTGAAAAAAAGACGTATGGATGAAGTTTTGAAAATTTTGAGATTAATAATCTAAAAAAATTATTTTTGATAATTTTCCGAAATTATTTTACTAAGTGTTGATTGAGAGAGAGTTTTTTACTGATGGAAAACGCACTTGGAGTGAGAGTATATAAATTTCTTCAAGTTTCCTTGGGAGAGAATGATTTTCTCAAGTTTTTCTAGAGAGATCTTCAAGGTTTCCAAGAGAGCGAGAATAATTTTCTCAGCTCACAAGGCTACCTGGAGAGTTGGTTTTCCTTCACGAGAAAAATGTCCATTGTTTGTAAAAAAATAGATAAGGAGAGAGAAAAATGGTCTTACAACGCTTTAGAGAGAGACAGAGAGAGAGAGAGAGAGGCAGAGTTTTTGTTTGACATGGAAAATGCAATCTGGATGCAAACAAATCAGACTTGTGGAAGAAATTGGAATAATTATGCAGCACAAGGGCCTTTGGGTAAGGTCCATATGTCAAATACCCCTTCATGTTCAGTAAATTTCCAAAATGCATTTTCCTTTTCTCAAGGTTGCTTTTTCTTTTGGGAAAGCATTTTGTGTGAGCAATTTGGATTTTCTAGGGTTTACTAGCTTCATCCCAGCCATCTGAAATTAACATTGGTTGGTTTGGTGTCTGCTTGCTGTCAAAGATTTTGAGTCCGGGAAATGCATGCATGCATTAGATGTTACTTTTTTAACTCCACTCTGTTTTAAAATCTGGATCGGTGGCATAGATCATTCATCCACTGATCCGTGTCGGATTATTGTATCGACAATACGGTTTGGGTCTAGATCGGTGATCCAAAAAAATATAAAAAGTAAATAAAAATTTATGGGTTTATGGGATGGGGATTAAAAAGGACCGATGAAAAAAGAAAACAAAATATAAAAAGGATTTTTAGGGGGAAGTGGGCAACGATCTATGTTTAGCTATAACCGATTTGGTCTCCATTGGTTCCCATCTAGATTGGCAATCCATATCGAAAATTGGTAGGTTTTACAACACTGACTCCAACTATTGATGGTTGACGGTGCTAAAGAAGTATTAACAAAATGTAGGACACCGAACTGCTAACATGGTATCTAAACCCTTTAAAGTAAATATAAATATATATCTTAATTGAACCTTAGAAATATCTATAGAAAAGGTTTATATAAGGAGTCAAACTTGTAAAATGCACCTTAAAAACTTTTAGGGGAAAGCTGTTTAGACACTAGATAACCCTCAAATTGATCATAACGACTTTAAGATATCATCATTGTCAAAGGTTTTTTTCAATTAATTAGGGTTGGCTACACGAATCCAGGTTCACTATTTTATTCTATTAATGGCCATACCCTCATTGAGGCTATAAATCTCCATATCCTTTCTCACTACTTTCAACCATATACTTTAGGGTCTACTGCTTTGCTTTTTTTCAGCCTTCTACTTGAATTAACTCTTACATCATAATATGTATTGTATTAGGTTTGCGCTACACATGACTAGCCTATCCAAATCTATTTTCTCTCATCTTATCGTCAATTAGTGACACACTTAAAGTTTCTTAAATGTATTCATTTCAAATTCTATCCCTTCTTGTATTGTCACTCATTTATCTCTACATATGCATTTCCGCTACACTCATTCTATGGATATATTATTTTTTGACTGCCCAACATTCTGCTCCATAGAGCAAAATTAGTCTCACAGTTGCCCTATAGAACTTGCCCTTCAGCTTCATCAGTATAGGCCAATCACATAAAATTCTAGTTGTTTATCTCCATTTCGCCCACTCAACTCTAATTCTATGTGTGACATCTTGCTGAATCTCTCTATTTTCTTGGATTATTGTCTCAATATATCGAAAATGTGCACTTTTTGGTATATCTTTACCGTCAATCTTAGTTGCTTCCTCATCTCTACTCTTATCATTACTAAACTTGCATTCAATATACTTTGTTTTAGTTCAACTAATTTGAAAATCTTTAGATTCTAGAGCATCTCTCCAAAGTTCTAACTTTGTGTTGACGACGCTTCGGGTCTCATCGAATAAAACTATGTCATCTGTGAGCAACATGTACACAGTATAATAGGTGCCTAGTTAAGTTGTCTATAATTAAGAGAAAGAGGTATGCTCAATACTGACCCCTAATGTAGATATCTTGTCATTGTAAACTCACTCGTCTTTCCATTAGTTGTCTGTACTCTGGTTAGCACTCCATCGTACATATCTCTCACCAAGTCGATATAGTATCACGAGAGTCCTTCCTTTTCCAACACCCCAAATCAAATATTTATCATGAATCGACTTTGCAATACATAGATATGAAAAAAGATTTCGGTATAAAATTTAGTTCATCTTATAATGCACTACTTGAATTGTCTATTTTTAAGATTTTCAAGTATCCATAGATCCGCTCAATCTACTCCACTTTTCGAGCACTAAATTTCATAATTAAATGAAGAAACAAATTTTCACGTCATTGTAAGGATTTTTGGTTGGGGGGTGTCCTTTGCTCTGATTATTCAAGGTTGACCCTTTTATATAAATTGTACGTATTCCTATGATGCCCCTTATTTTGTGGTAAACTAATTCTACGATGTATAAATATAATTCTATTTTTATTATTATTTTAAAGAAAATGTATACCGTGATATCATTTGGGTCGTTGAAAAACACCATGATAGGAGCTCCTCAACCATTGATATCAATAAGACTAAGTTGTGTTGCAATCTATTCACTTGTGGGGACTTCTTAGTAGAGGACACCTTGGCCATTGTTATTGAGTTCGATCGTGAATGGGTGATAAACTTGTAGTATGCTATTTCGAAAAAACCATCAAAATGGCTTGATTTGGCAAAGTTTTTTATGTTAGCATTTGGGTTTCAAACAATTTGCTACCACCTTTCTCAAATTTTTTAAAGGACATTGTGCAGATGAATACACACACCCAAGGCTTTATTGCCTTCAAACTATTGTGAAGGTGCTAGCAAACTGTTTGAAATCCAAACACTAGCTCATTATGGTATACAACGTTTTGTGCTCTTGCTTCAACAATAAACAATCAAAGTAAACTTTTAAAAATCTTGAAATGGGCATTTTAGTGTTCAAAGATTTACTATTTGTAAGAACATATTTTTTATTGTTTTTTTGTTTTTATATATCAATACATGATTAATTGGAGTTCATTAGTATCATAACAACATTTCTTGATGGGTCTTGAAGTGCGTCTTACTTTTATAATATGTATAAACTTGACGCCTTATATAAACTCTTTCCAATTTAGTATTTGTTATTTGGTGCTCATAGCTTTTACATATTTTATATTACAAAGTACCATGCGTGTATGTCATCACAACATTTGCAAAATATGAGAATTACTTAGGTTACTTTAGTAATTTAGATGAAAATTGGGCCTCTCAAGGGGTAACAATGGAAAGTATACATGGGACTATTTACCTCTAGTACAAGGTGGTCATAATTAATCTTGATTATTAGATGTGAAATTGAGTGATTACATTTATTTC